GGCACGGAGCAAATTCCCTTAGTGATGGCAGGTGTGTGTGTTGTGTGTACGGGAGCGGGGGTACAGCTGTGTGTGTGCAATCTGATTTCAGATTTCATCTAGTTATCATTCAGTTGTGCCACTTAATTACTGCATTCTCGGGTCTTCTGTAATAAATGTGTTTTCTTAACCTACAGTCTCTAAGCTGCTAGACGAAGAATTCTGTTCTAATTGAAAAGCTATTTGGGAAGGTTCCAATCTTCTTTTTTTTTTTTTGAAGTGAAAACCACAGAAGAGCATACTAAGAAAGCAATTTATTCGAAGTCAGAAGCAGCAGCTCGCTCTGTTTCAGACTGTCAGTGTGGTTTCAGTAGGTTTGGGTCTTTTTTCATTAGGATTGGGGCGGGAGGGGAGTTGATTGGAGTTTTTTCTTAATGAACTCCTCCAGGTTGTGAGCTGTCTCATCAGAAATACTCGATGCTCACACTGCAGTCGAGGTCAAGTGTTTAAGGTACGTGACAGCTTTTCATACAGAATCCTCATCATCTAAACAATAAGATAGTTCAGGAAGTGTTGTGCATTGTGATCTGCTATTTTCTGCCTCTTCTGAAAGTCAAGAAAACACTGAAAAACAGTTTGCGTGCCCTTGGGATATGATTTCACTGCTCTTGTCTAAAAACATTATCAAATGTGTAGTTTTGGGAAAGGCACTCTAGCATGTAAACGTGTTTTAGCTTCTTTTCAGCTCTTGTTCTTCTAAGCAATAATCTATAAAATGAAGTACCGTTATGGAAGTTGAAATGGAAAGGCTTCCCTTTACTAAAGAATGAAATCCATGCAAGTAAAATTTAACCTGTAAAAATGATTCCTATACTTAAAAAAAAAAATAATCCATACCTGGGGAAATTACAAATGTTGATTTATATAATAAGTTGTGTCAAATGAATTACAGCTACAGTGTGTCTGATGAGACACATTAACCAGACTATAATGATGTCCATATTAAATGAGGATAGGGACAAACAGAAATTTTGGCAAGTTTGCTTAGTGATTTGCATCCGAACAGGTACTGGTAGGAGCTGTGTTCTTTGAGCTATTTGGACACGGTTACCTGATTCACCGCTCACTGCGGGTGACCAGGACCTGCTGGTGGGTGTGACATCATTTTGGTTTGTAGCTTTTACTCTTCTACAAAGCATCGGGCTGTTGAGGAGTGTTTTGCATCTGGCAGCTTGAAGTCAGTGGGGTTTGAAGCAGATATTTTTATGGCTTGAGTGTCTTGATGCGACTGAGAAGCAGGACTTGCCTTCTCCCATCCAATGTCTCCACCTTCTCAAAAGCTGGTCTGTGTATGAAGCAAGTAAATAATCAGCTGTGCTGTTGAGAGCCCATGGGACAGAGGGGGAGATGCAGGGTGCAGCTGCAAAACCCAGTCTAGCTGCTGTCCCAGTTGCCTCGTGGGACAGGACTGGTCTTGTGTATCGGCACAGGGCTGTGTGCCTTGAGGAAAGCTAGGTAGGAAGAGGGTATGATTGGAAATTGGCTTGAGAATGAGACAAAGGTGGAACACGGTGACTTTCAAAGCTGCTGGGCCACAGCAGGAGAAAAATCTGAAGACTAATCATAATTACCTTCTCATTAGAGAAAGGTGACCAGTTCTGTTCACCAAATTGTGCAGATGAGTACCCCAGTTATGGTGCTACTGGAGAAAAGGAGAACATGTAGTTTTTTGGGAAGTCAGAGGCAGCTGCAGTATTTGAATCACAAATGTCCCATTGGGTCATTCTTCAATGCCCACGGTGGAGGATGCCCAGACACTAGACACCAAGCAGCGTGATCCCACCAGGACCTGTCTAGTGGAAAATGGTGCCACACAGGTTCACTCACCTCCAGAGTGGTGGCTGAGCAGGGGTGCTGAGGATCTCGTTTGCGGGTTTTTGTATTTAAAGTGGTACTTTTCTATTTGGGTGCCTGTTGAAGCTACCTGAGAGTGCGTTAGAAACTCTGAAAATGTTTACATTACAACCTTGTGATCTCAAAATTTGACATAAATTTCCTTCTAACTAAACTAGTTTTATATATTAGGGATACTAGGGAAGCACGGAGATAAAAAATGTATGATGACCATTTATTTTTTCCTTAACTCCTCTTGTATTCCCTTATTTATAAAAAAATGAACAAAAACTTAGTGTAATTTATTTTTATGTTATGATAATCATTATGTGACTTTTCCATTGAGTTGGCCTAGTTTTCTACTCATGTAGTGAAAAGACAGATTAAGTATTGGCACTAGAACTTCCAAGCAGGCTCTGGAAATACAGCCATCCAGCTGGCTCTGCCTCAGTCCTACAAATGAAAAGATGCCTCAATCTCAAGTCTAAGGAGCCGGGCGCCTGCTGCACGTAAGGCATTTTTTGTACCTGCAGCCCTGCCTATGCAGATGAACAAATTTTCCTTTCTGGCAGCAACAGGGTTAATCTGACAAGATAAAGGACTTCTGTCATGGAAAATTCAAGGGACTTCCTGGAGTAATCCTGGGTCCGCATGTTCTGCAGTTCTGAGAACTCTAAATTCAACTAGAAAATAGTTAGAATATTTAATACCTGGAAAGATGCAAGCAGTATAGGTTTAAAAAACCCCATATATACCTGTACATCCTCATTTGCAGGATACTTCTGATGAGTAAATTGTTAAAATGATTATCTATATCATGTATATTTGTGATTGCTTGTAGGTTTTTGAAACAGCAATCTAACACCAGAAATGTAGCAGCTTTTGTTATATTAAAAAAAAAAAAGGAATTAATTATGGCTTTTTGTTTAGTGGGAACAGTTTAAGACTTGTAAAGAATCTATTTTCTTACACTTTCAAACAAAAGAGGGCGTATCAGGTTTCCTGTAAAAAGAAATTCATGTAGGAAAGCTCTGAGCTCTTGGGTGACTTAAATTCTTTTGGTTTTGATTAAAATCAAAACACATCACCTTAATTTGACCTCGTATGAATTTTATGGAACTTTTAAAATCAGTTTAATTTTGATATGTTGGTTTGGACCAAAATCAAAATGTTTTGCTCTCAACAACGTCAAACGGGATGCTTTTAATGTTTCTCTTGTGTTTCCAAAACGAAATGTCTTTGGAATAGCTTAAATAGAAAGATTGATGAAAATGTTTTCCATATGAAAAACAAAGTTGGCAAATCTTTAAACCAGTTCTCTCCAAAAAGAAGGTTTTAGTCTTAAACTGTTGTTCAGCGTGTTTTTTAAGGTCATATCTAAATCCACAGGCATCGTGGTTTAACCACAGCCAGGACCATGGAGCTGCTCGCTCCCCCTTCCTCCCCCCAGAGGGGTGGGGAGAAGAGGAAGAAAAGGAGGGGAAAGGGAGAAAAAAGAAACCAAACCTGGTGGATTGAGACAAAGACAGTTTAATAACAGAAATAATAGTAAAATAATAATAATGACACAAGTCACTGTCTCCGCCCGGTGATATTGGCAGTGTCCCCAGCAGTGTCACAGATCCCCCTCCCAACACCATTTAAATACTGAGCCTGACATCTATGATGCAGGATATTCCATTGGCCCTTCCATTGCTCTGTTTATATTCCTTCTCAGCTTCTATGGAAAGCTGAAAAGAGTCCTTGAAAAGCACAAACATACTTAGCAACAACTAACTAATATGCATTGCTGACATTCTTTCCATGGCAATCACTAGAAAGAAAATTTAACTCTTTCCAGCTGAAACCAGAACAATGGGGAACAAAAACCTAACGTGGAGTTCAGGGATTCAGACTCAACAAAACAGTTCTGCAGCACAACTAAAATGTGTGCACTTTAAAGAGTGAGAGTGCATTTTCAAGGCTCTTTATCATCTAGGCAAAAATTAATTTTGCATCTTTGCATACGAGGCCATCTACAGGCCAGCAAGATTCAGGTTGGTAGTGACGGCAGCGTGATGTCCAGGAATGGGAGGTGAGCATCTCCATACCCTCTCTACCCTGCCTGCTCCCCTCCCTGAAACCCACCTAATCTACCACTCTGGGGGAAGGCTGTAGTAGGCTTTCATTCCAGTGATAACAATATGAGTTGCTGGCATAAGCCCATCCGCAGCATGCGTTCCACTCGGTGGGTATCACAGAGTCATTGAGGATGGAAGGAACTGCTGGAGATCATCTAGTCCGCCTGCTCCCCTCCCTGAAACCCACCTAAATCCACTCTCTGGGGGAAGGCTGTAGTAGGCTTTCATTCCAGTGATAACAATATGAGTTGCTGGCATAAGCCCATCCGCAGCATGCGTTCCACTCGGTGGGTATCACAGAGTCATTGAGGATGGAAGGAACTGCTGGAGATCATCTAGTCCAACCACTCCTGGCTTAAGCAGAGTGAAGTAGAGGGGGCTGCCCAGGACCATGTCTGTGGGTTTTTCAACCACTCCTGGCTTAAGCAGGGTCAAGTAGAAGGGGCTGCCCAGGACCATGTCTGTGGGTTTTGAATACTCCATGGATAGAGACTCCACAATGTCTCTGGCAACATGTGATAAAATCATAGAATTATAGAGTGGCTTGGGTCGGAAGAGACCTTTAGAGGTCATCTAGTTCCAACCCTCCTGCAATGAGCAGAGATATCTTCAACTAGACCAGGCTGTTCAGAGCCTCATCCAAGCTGACCTTGAAAGTTTCCAGGGATGGGGCATCTACCACCTCTCTGGGCAACCTGGGCCAGTGTTTCACCACCCTCAGTGTAAAAAATTTCTTCCTTGTATCTAGTCTCAAACTTCCTTTTTTTAGTTTAAAATCTTACCCCTCATCCTGTTGCTACAGGCCCTATTAAAAAGTTTGTCCCCATCTTCCTTACAGGCCTTAAAAAGTTTGTCCTCATCTTTCTTACAGGCCCTCTTTAAGTACTGAAAGGCTGCAATAAGGTCTCCCTGGAGCCTTCTCTTCTCCAGGCTGAACAACCCCACCTCTCTCAGCCTGTCCTCACAGGAGAGGTACTCCAGCCCTTTGAGCATTTTTTTGGCCTCCTCTGGACCTGCTCCATGTCTGTCTTGTTCTGAGAAACACTGTTCCAGTGCTTGACTCCCTCAAGGTAAAAAAAGTGTTTTTCTGTTTTTCAGTTTGTGCGCATTGCCCCTTATCCAAGCACCAAGCACCACTAAGAAGAGTCTGGCTCCATCATCTTTGCACCCTCCTATTGGGTATTTATTTACATTAATAAGATCCCCCCTAACCCTTCTCTTCTCCAGGATAACCAGTCCCAGCTCTCTCAGCCTCTCCTTGTACTACAGATGCTCCAGTACCTTTATTATCTGCTGGACTCTGTCCAGAAGGTCCATGTCTGTCTTCTGTTGGGGCACCCAGGACTGCAGACAGCACTCCAGCCGTTGGCCTCGCCAGCGCTGAGCAGAGATGAAGAGTCACCTTCCTCCACATGGCCTGAAAATTATAACAACATAGAAGGCTGGTTAAAGGTAGGTTGTGCAAGGGCTGAGGACAGAAGCCCACACAGTTCTGATGAATTTCATATTCTTATAGCAGATGCCCTTCCTCTCAAACAACAGATCTATTTGGTTGTGCTGACAAAAAATATATAGTTTCTTCCTCCCTTCTTGGACTTCTGGTGTGCCCACATTTCTCTGACCAAAGGGAAATAACTTTTATAACCAAGATAACGGTCCTCTTTCAGGAGACTCCCCGAGCTTCCACCAGAGGACAGATGACTTCTGCCAAAGGATGCTGGATACAGCCACCCTGCAAAATTGACTGTCGCCAAAAAAAACCCAGGAAGGTTTGAGCCCAGCAGTGCAGCAGTGTCAGCTGTGCTCCCCAAGGCAGTGCAGCTGCCTCAGCACACCATGGAGCCTGCCCCTGCGGAGCCACCGGTCAGTCCAGGGTGAGTCATCTCCACTGAAATCAAATTCTATGTCTGTAAAGCAACAGCTTTCCTTAAGAGGTCATTTTCTTATTTAGAGGAATTAATTATCTTCTCTAGGGCAATTATTTTTAAACAGATTCAGACTTAAGGCGATGATTCTGTTAGTCCCATCAAAATATCTCTTACAAAGTTAATACCTCTTGCAAGTTTCAAACAAACAACCCTGCCCCCAGAAATCACCCCCCCCAATTAATCACACAGTCTGGGTGACACTCAAAATGGGGCATTGACAGGTATCGGTGCACAAAGAGCCAGTGCCCTGACATCAAATCGTCACTTAAATTGTCACAGCCAGCTCAAATATCAAGTTTAACCTCAAATTAGTGCCCATACACTTTTAAAGGTGTTTAAAGCTAAGTATTTTCCTTATTTTTTAAAATTTTAGAACAGAGATAAAATATTGCAATTTACAACGCTTGGCTCTAGAATTAAAATTACAGTTTGAGCTCCTGCCTGCCCACCTGTATTTCCCTTCTTTTCCCTAGAAGCTAAAGCCTGGCTTGAACCAAACTGATTCTCAGATATATTTTAATTTATATTTTAAGTTTAATTTATATTTTAAAATATACGGATCCATGGCTAAACATGTCCTAAAGGTTGTTCTGAAGGTATTTGTAGGTACAGAAACAAAATCCAGTCTGAATGTTTTCAATGTTGGTGAAAGTTTGAGATCAGTGTTGGATCTGAAGTATGATTTCAAATGTAGTTCAGATATTTGTAGGTACAGAAGCAAAATCCAGTCTGAACGTTTTCAATATTGGTGAAAGTTTGAGATCAGTGTTGGATCTGAACTATGATTTGAAATGTAGTTCAGTCCATCGATGTATAGAATTAGCTTGTGTGAGATTTTGGTCTGAACTACATGTTCCAGTTTATGAATTCAACTTTTTCCAGCATCTAAGACTAAATTTGTGGTTTATTCCCAGCAGTACTGAGGTCAACTCACAGACTTGCACCAAAAACCTCATAAAATGTTACGGTTTATTGTGAGGACTTTTTCTTAAATTCAAACCATATTGTTTTCAGGTGAGTTTTGCTTTGGGATTTGGATTTGTTTGGAACCAAAACTAGAACAAGAAATTCAGGCAGAAGGTATTGGAGAAACCTGCTCCTCCTGTGAGGACAGTAGCTCAAAAAAAAAAAAAAAAAAAAAGGACAAACTGTACATAAATACCCTTTTAAGTGTGAAGTTTATCCTGTAGAAAAAGAACAATGAACTGCAAATTTAATAAGTTGCATCCAGAATACTCTTCAAATTGTATTTGTTATTATATTATGATAATTCTATCTTATAGATATTAAATTATATTATTACTATTTGCTATAATCCACAGAATTTTGCCACAAAGAGGGAAGCCCCAAAACGTAGAATGACATCATTAAAGAATTAAATACAATTTTGAGGGTTTTCCAACTGAAAACCAGTTTAAAGAATACTGAAATTAAGTAGGGAGGCTCGCTTTTCTGTGGCAGAATGAGCTGGGAGATGGTACCTCACTGGTAAGACAAAGTCAGAGATGTTCTTCTGTGGCTGACAGGGGACAACAGACAGCACTAGAAGACTTTGTAGCTGCCAGAATAAGCTCATACCCTTGCACCCGAGGCTTGTAACATTGATCTTTGTGCAGTACTTTGCACTCACTCCGTTCCACCTACAAAATCACCGTGGCTGATGCACAAGGCTAATTAAGTTGTGGGTTTATTTCCTGCCCTTTTCACTGTCTCTGTTTTTTTTTTTTTTTTTCCCCAGTACAGCTCTGCCTGCTTAATTTGAGCTGTTCCTGATGTGGGAACACAAGGAGGGTTTTTATTCTAAACTCTGGATCTTTATACAGTCATTGAAAACTTTATAAGAGGAACACGTTAGTCCCAATAATTTATCCTAATTTAGTCACTGTACTGTTACAATTATGATAATCAAGTTGAAAATTTAAACTTGTGATTAATTATTAGTGATCCACAGTGTTAATGGTAAAAGTTATCATTAATATAATAAACTTATTTTCTTTTAGTTGTCAAGATCCCATCAGTTATCAACTTCTAAGAGAATATTTTTGAAACAGTGAAATTTTAAGACATGGGCAAAGTTACAAAACCAAGAGCAGCAGACTGTCTAAGGCAGGGTTCAACCCTGAACCTGTCAAAGTTGTCAATAGTGACTTTCCAGAACACATCAGAAGAAACTGCCTGTCCTTATTAACTCCCAGCACTTAGCTTTGCTATAAGACTTCCCAAACTCATCTTTTTACCCCAAGTAGCAGCTCATGTGACTGTATACTTGATGAGACATGTCTAATCTGGCCAGGGAAGTGGACACAGCTGGATCACCCCTAAATGCCCTTGCCAAAGTGGTCAGTGGTTGAGCCCAGGCAATTCACCCCAAAGCCTGTGACCGGGGCTGGGAGGGCTCAGCCAAGCTGTTTGTAGCAGAACTTTTCACCAGCTCAGGAAGTGTTCCCCAGTCAGGCTAGAGGCAGCGTGGTTCTTTAGTAAAAAATGATATTGATAAATACAAGATGAGAAGATAAACTGACGTTACCTGAGGTGAGGTTGGACAGAAACCGAAGTTAGTGCAGGATATTGAATAAATGCCAGAGCAGGAGCAGGGTCAGGCTCCCCCAGAGCAGTTCTGCAGCAGCATCATGTACACAACCACCATCTCCAGGCAAAGAGTTCCTGAGTTCAGGGGCCATGACTGTAACCATCTCCTTTTCCCATGTGCTTGGCTGTTTGTTTCTCGGTTGGTTTGTGGGTTTTTTTTTTTTCCCAGTGACTAAGCATCTAATTTGAATCAACTGTGGGAGAAGAGAGGATTGAAGGTAAAGTAGTGCTTTTTATTATTCAGGTTGTCATTAATTGCTCTTTTCAGTTCACAACATTTAAATGAAATATTCACGCAATTGGGCCAGTTGTAATTCAATCAGAAACCCATCCAACTACCCTGAGGAATCCCATCAGGGCTCCTTACGCAGCAAGAAAGAATTTTAATTAGAAATTTGAAATAAGCTTTCCTTCAGTTTTGCCAGGAACAAAATGGGCTGGTGCTTAGTGCCTCCATATGGGGAATTAAAGCCTTTGCAAAAAAAAAAAATAAAAATCAGCATTTAAAGAAACATCTAGAATTTAAGATTTTGATAAATTAATCTATCTTTGCACTTTCTGGTAAGTTCTGATGAAAAATATGAATGTTTTGCAAACACATTTCTAGGTGCAACGTACACTACCATTTCTACTGAGTATCTGTAGTTTTAAAAGGTTTATCTTATATTTAAAAATGATTTTTAGTTGCACACAAAGCTATATTTGAAGATGCAGCTAATAAAAAATAGGAGATAGAGAGCCGCTTGAATGAAAATGAATATTTAGGCATTTTACATGGTATTATGAGAGGTATTTTGAACTGTTAGAAGACTTCCAGTAAGCAGCTTGCTCCGACCCCAGGGCAAGAGGTGCAGCAACAGAATCAATTCCCACCGTTCCCAAACCATGATTCTCAAACCAGACACTAATTTTGAAATCTATGTTTCAACTCTAATAAAATGGGGGAGAATGGCAGGGGGAAGTTACTTGATCCTGCATTAAGTTGCTATAGATTAAGTCAATCAGGCTTTCTACTCTTTAATAACTTTGACAGCTGGAAACTCCCTGAAGGAAACCAGTTCTGATGCTTGTGCTGCATTTGGCATCTGGCTGACCCTGGTACAGCAGCATCTTGCGTCCCACAACGCAGCCCCAGCAACGCAGCCAGAGGTGGCAGGTAAAGAGCAAGGAGTGAAGTTTGGGTTTTGAGGATTGGTTTAGGGTTTTTTTGTTTGTTTTCATGTTTGGCAGGTAGTTTTTCTATTTTTGCTTGTTTGGTGGGGTTTATGGTTTTAGGGTTGGGTGTTTTGGTTTTTTGTTGTTGTTGTTTGGGGATTTTTTTAGTTTGGGTATTTATTGGTCTTTCTTACTTAACTGTTTAAACAGAACTTGGAGGGAAATGAAATGGCCACTTCACCTTAGACTGCTTTCCCTTTGGCCTCCTGACCTTTATGTTCCTTAAAAACTCCTTTCAAAGAATACAGAGAATTCCCTCACCCTAAAATATAATGGCTTAAAGTTACCAGCTCACTTTGTCATGTTTTTCCTAACTTTGCTACCTGCTTTGTGCCTGTATCATTTGCATTTAATTAGAGTGACAAGCAGAGTACAATCTTATTCTGGAGACTTCTCCAAGCCCTTTGCTGTTCAGTTTGTCAGTGAGATACTGGACCTGCACCTCACTGTTTGAATCTCCAAAGCAGACAGTTGCTCCAGACCCTCCAGAAGGGCAGGTGGGAAAGAAAAATACAGAATTGTAGGCAGGATCCCTAACTTACCTGCAGTGTCAGTGGCCCCATTGACTAGACTTACACTATCAGTTAAAGATTTATGCTATTTGTAGACTGTCCTAATAAGAAATACCAGATGTCATTGACTTACCTCTAAGACAGATGTCTTTCTCTGTGCTCCAAAATGACGTGTATGAAACCAAGCTTCCACTTGGAATGTTTTTCTTCTGCTGTTCGGGGTCGCTGGAGCTCAGCTACGGATGAGTCCGATTGGGATGAGTCTGATCATATTCAGGGTGAGTCTAAAGATACAACAAAAAAAGGCAATTCTGTCATTTGGTTCAGCATAAGTAAGGGCTTAATCATAACTTTTTCTGGTGTGTTTTTGGCATGGGTTCCCCCTCCCTCCTCCTCCACACATCGTAAGGCTTGTGGCACATGGGCCTCAAGCACACTCACTTAAAGGAAAGTCAGGGGCAAGGTTTTGCATTAACGCATGAGTTCCAGTATTTAAGGCATTCAGCTTGTTTTCATGTTTAGAAAGAGGACTTTTCTAGCATAGCTAGATAATTAATTGAGCAGTGTGTTACATAAAACATGGGGTTTTTTTCTGACTAGAACAGTTGTCATTTCACAAAGATCTTGGTTTTGCATGGAAACAAAATCAGCTCATGTTGTCATTTCACAAAGATCATGCAGCTTGGTTTTGCATGGAAACAAAATCAGCTCAAAAACAGTTAATTTCTTGACAGAGGAAATTAATGTATTTGTATGGCAACTGCATCTATTGACAGAATAAATTTTCCTTCAGGGCCATCTCACTGATTTTTACAACCAGTTTCACATTTGATTCAAGTTCTTTGGAGCATGTTATCTGAGATATTTCATAGAAATGACTGCAAAATGTTTAGCAAGTTACACTTGGAAATCAGTACGTTTAGTTCTCCCGTTTCAAAAGACTTAAGATCATGTTTAAACTGTAGTTAAATTATAACATTCTTTATAGCACTCCGAACTACATAAGGTGTCCCAGTTCAATATGTGGAGCAGAAGATCAGGTCGTAATCACTATTATACTCCAAAGGTTGGGTTAAAGTAACAAGAGCAAAGCGATTTCAATGAAAAGGGGAAAGTTTACTTAAAGAAAAGCTCTGAATCTAAAGAGAGTTCAGACATCATAATCTCAAGGGGATTTCCTTAAAAATTCTTAAGGAAATAATGAAGAGAAGAACAAAGGTATGAGGGTTTAAGGAAATCTACTGATATTTAGCATTCAGTAGAAGAAAAGAAGTGCCAGTCATGGAAGTAGAAGTTCTCCTACCTGTTCTCCCTTGGCCAGGACCCTCTTCTGCTGGTTTCTCTACCAAGGGCTCTCTGGGTTGCGTAGAATGGGAACTACCACAGTCTGCCATCATAACTGCCAGTCCCTGTCAATTACACTGGGGATTTAAGGCATAAAATAATTCTTACAAAAGTTGTCTGAGGGAACTAAATACTTAGCTAAAACAATGACAACTCGCATGTAACTAAAACTAGAGGTTTAGTCTTCTTTTTCCCTTAACCTTTATCTACAGCACAAAGTGGTAACGCACACAATGCTATAGTTACAAACACTGTAGTTTCCATGGGTATTGAATCAATTCGATCTCCATCCTCAGACATTGATTCCTATAAAAGGGATAGATTCAGTATTTAGCATATATGAAGCTACAGGATATAACTACAGAAAAGGTAAACATTACTGCCACTTTTGGATCACTGCTTATCTTCGGATAATATGATGGGACAAGTACTTTATATGCAGAGAAAATGTCATTTAAAATCTCTGTCAACGTACTAATTCTGGACTGGACAGTAGTTGCAGTAGCAAAAATCCATTTTAGGCTGTATACGAAACATTTTCTCTTGTCTGCTTAAGAAGACTTAACCAGAGAGTAGGTTGTCTGTTGTACTTTCCTCAATATACATAAAGTAATAACAGTGATATGCCTTGAGATTATCATACAGGGGGTTTTTTTGACAGCTGAGAGCAGCTGCATCATAAACAAAGCCAGCGCAGAAGCACATTGTGTGTTCCCTGGAGAAACTAATCTCTTCTGCTGCTTCCCAGTGCTCAGCTTACCCAGCATGTCTCAAGCCATGTTTAATTACCCTTTCTACCTCTCATTGAGCCCAAAGAGGCATTATTATATCAGACAAAACACGCATCCTATTTCTGTGTTGGTCGGGTATCGCTTCTTCCATTTCCCTTCCATCTGAGCTTTTACCAAAGCTGTTCCTTCAGCTGGAGCTCACTTGACTCAGTTTTGCACGTGAATGCACATTTCCAGCTCACTGAAGTGGTTTCTGCTGCTTTATTATAACTTATGGGATACATTTACTATTTAGGATTCCATTATTTTCCCGCTACTTTGTCTTTTATATGATTTTGGTTTTTTTTTTTTCCCCTGTTGCTGGTTTGGAGACATCATAGGCATAAAAAATTGATCTTATCCTTTTCTCTTTGAATTACGCTATTGAAGTGTGACGTATATGGATGTACACAAACAACAGCATTTATGAAGCAGAAAACATGTTGAGTAGATCTCCAAGTCAAGCTAAAAAATGAAAAGTATTTCTTTTTTCTGGCTATATTCTAGTTGCTAAACTTACCCATCTTTGAAAGAACGGCTGTACTGGATTTCAAAGATATTAATTTGATGACTAGCTGATGTAAAAGGATAGAGCAAGAGTAGGATAAGTGGGTTTTGGGCATTCAAACCACCAAAGCTACCAAATCTCCTGCTTCTGTACAAGCCTGCAGTTATGTCCTATGGCTGAAATACAGGAGAGAACACCTCTCTGCACATCAACTGCTTTGAATCATTCTGGCACTTGGCGTGGGTCACTTTTCATCACTGTGAATTCAGAGTGGGCAAATTGAAATATCTCCTATTAAATGTCTCGCATACAAAGCTCTGTCATCATCATTGAAAAGGAATGGGTATTCTTTTCCTTTTGAATTCCAGAAATACCCTTTTTTAGCCGTAGTTGGGAGAAAACCCAGCAAGGAGGATCAAGAAGAGACTGGAATTAAACTAATTTTATGATTTCCAAGAGTCACTGGCCCTGTAAAGACTCTGCTCCGAGTTACTACCAGGAGGCAGATCCATAACAGATAATAAAAGCAACAGATCTCCCACACTGAAATATCTCCTATTTTCTCTGTAGCCAACATTTTCTGAAAAATTAGAAGGAAGTGAGCCTGCATGTGATGAAATTTTCAGGCTGTGAGCCTCCCTTTCCTAAAGCCAGTCCAGCACCTCCCAAAAGATGGAAGAAGACTCCTTGAAAAGACCAGAAGGTAAGAGTTTCATTTAACTGTAAGAGATCTCCAAAGGGCTGGAAGCAAGGACGAAAGATTCAGCATGAAGTATATTAAGCTGCATCTCCCATATCTAGTTTATGATTTTGGAGACAGCTGTTCTAGATTTTTGTGAAGTCTCAATGGATTGTGATACTGAATCATGAATTACTGTAACAATGACATTTGATGCCATGTGCACCAGGAGACTTCTTGATCTTGGACAAAATTAGCTTTAATTAAGATTCCTACATACAAAGTCGCCTCGTGCAACTTCAGCTTCTTAATCTAGATGTCTGGTCTATGCTACGTCCTGTAGCCTCCCCTGAATTCAGGGAGAGGCAGACACCTGCAGGGCTGGGGCACCTGCATCAGGAAGGTTATCGATTAACTCTGTACAGTCTGGAATCCCCTGTACTTACACAGGGTGCACAGCTGTGGGCCAGAGACCCAGAGCACCAGATGCTTATCTGGGTTAAGTTGGTATCAAAGATGAACACATAGAAATATACTATCCCTACCACCCCCAAAAAAATGTTCAAGAAAAGGTAAATATGGTTATTGTTTCCTAGCAATTTTTTTACTACAGCATCCCTACCGCCCCCCCAAAAAATGTTCAAGAAAAGGTAAATATGGTTATTGTTTCCTAGCAATTTTTTTACTACAGTCTGATAAGTACACAGTGTTTCTGGAGTGTTAGAATGGTTTGATACAAGGACAGGGAAGATCGTGCAAGCTGGTTCCTTATGCGTGACAGCTTTAGCTCAGCAGTTATTCACAGCTTTTTTCTTCTTAAATCATAACTTCCTGTACTCTTTGGTAGGCAGAACAGCAACATTAAGATTTTCATTTTGTGAATTACTGTACTGACTAGTCCTGTGGATTGTCTTTCTGTTCTTTCACTCCTATTTGGAAATGGACTTTCCTTAAAATACTTTCTCAGAGACAGTAACTCTATCTTGCCAGGCATGGAAGAGTGTGAAAAGTTCACTGACTGGTGAAATTTTAGAAAATTCTGTAAAGGTGTTTTTCACTTACCTTAACAGTTCAAGGAATATCTTGAAGTGATATAGTTGATGAGAATGAAACTGTTGATGGATATCTCCAGAGACAGCTGTTCTTCAATCCACAGTGGATTTCAACAAGGATGGTACCAGCCAATGTCTTGAATAACCCCTTGAAAGGAAGAGAAATCCAGACAAAGGTAAGCAGGCTGTTTCCTGGATGGATACAACCCCCCACACAGGCCCAAAGTGCTTAAAGACTTCTTGATCTTGGACAAAATTAGCTTTAATTAAGATTCCTACATACAAAGTCGCCTCGTGCAACTTCAGCTTCTTAATCTAGATGTCTGGTCTATGCTACGTCCTGTAGCCTCCCCTGAATTCAGGGAGAGGCAGACACCTGCAGGGCTGGGGCACCTGCATCAGGAAGGTTATCGATTAACTCTGTACAGTCTGGAATCCCCTGTACTTACACAGGGTGCACAGCTGGGGGCCAGAGACCCAGAGCACCAGATGCTTATCTGGGTTAAGTTGGTATCAAAGATGAACACATAGAAATATACCATCCCTACCGCCCCCCCAAAAAATGTTCAAGAAAAGGTAAATATGGTTATTGTTTCCTAGCAATTTTTTTACTACAGTCTGATAAGTACACAGTGTTTCTGGAGTGTTAGAATGGTTTGATACAAGGACAGGGAAGATCGTGCAAGCTGGTTCCTTATGCGTGACAGCTTTAGCTCAGCAGTTATTCACAGCTTTTTTCTTCTTAAATCATAACTTCCTGTACTCTTTGGTAGGCAGAACAGCAACATTAAGATTTTCATTTTGTGAATTACTGTATTGACCAGTCCTGTGGATTGCCTTTCTGTTCTTTCAGTCCTATTTGGAAATGAACTTTCCTTAAAATACTGTCTCAGAGACAGTAACTCTATCTTGCCAGACATGGAAGAGTATGAAAAGTTCATTGACTGGTGAAATTTTAGAAAATTCTGTAAAGGTGCTTTTCACTTACCTTAATAGTTCAAGGAATATCTTGAAGTGATTTAGTTGATGAGAATGAAACTGTTGATGGATATCTCCAGAGACAGCTGTTCTTCAATCCACAGTTGATTTCAACAAGGATGGTACCAGCCAATGTCTTGAATAACCCCTTGAAAGGAAGAGAAATCCAGACAAAGGTAAGCAGGCTGTTTCCTGGATGGATACAACCCCCCACACAGGCCCAAAGTGCTTAAAATAGCATGACACACAAAAGTTATTAAAGGCAAGGAAGTCAAGGCCCTTGCTTGTTCTGGTAGTTCCTACACAGAACCAAACTAGGAAAACTTAAGGGGATAGAGATGTGAACTACATATCTGCTTTCTAAACTTTCAAAACCAATCAGTTCTTTCCTCAGTGCAGAGGGCTGCCCCTTCAATTGTCATCAGGTTATTTTTTAACACAACAAACATAGCATTAAAGCAAGGTAAGGAGTCCTGCGTTTACTGGGTGCCATAGGACTATGAACTACTCACAAAGGCTTGTCCTTTCCCTACACACATGTATTCTCTGTGCCGTTTCCCTCTGCAGCACAACGGGCTCTCTGTGGCTGTGGAGAAGCAAGTTCTAGAAGAGTTTTCACTGGGGGAAAAGTGGAGGTTGTTTTAAACATAAGATTTTAATTTGCTTTGGCTTATTAATTTTTGTCATGCAATCCCTCCTGATAGCTATACGTAATAACAGGAGCTGTATTGGTTTTGTTCTTGACTTCTGAATAGATTATACAGACAACACTTTTTGATTCAAACACCCAAGTAAAGATCTTGTCTTGGCCCTCTACTTTCTGGTGTCCTAAACGTCTTAATAACAAGTGACAAAAAACATGGCCAGGAGAAAAGGCTTATGGACTATCAGACAGTACAATGTCTAAAGCAAATACAGTGTATTAGGGTTTGTTTCCCTAAACTCAGGCATAAATAGGGCACGAAAAATTACAGCAATTCTTTTCCTGCTACTGTGCTTTCTCCTCTGTCCTCTGAAACTGTGAACGGGCCTGTTTGATTACAGTTCAACAAGCATGAACTGTCTTTATTTTTTGAGTTTAGGGCTACTAGGTGTGTAACAAAAAAAAAAAAAAAAAAGATGTTTTCAGGAATTCCATTGTTCTAATTGCCAAGAATATTATCTTATTAACTGAACTTCGATTTATTTAAACATTACTTCCAACTGGAGTAGCCTGGAACTAAGTCCCTGGGGTTTTGTGTTTCCAGTTACTGACTGTTAGTGCTGCTCATTACCCAGTGAGGTACGGGCACTCCAGAGCAGATCCACACATCCCTCCCTCCTGTAGCAGTCAATAAATACAGTAGTACGCAGGGAAAGTTGGGAAAGACAATGCTGAAACAGAAAGCTCGTAAAAGAAAAAAATAGAGAGAGGCATCATGACATAGAAAAGAGAAAGAAACATGCAAGATACAAACCCCTCACTTTGGGTGAGATTTGCACACATTAAAAGAAAAAAAAATAGAGAGAGCCATCATGACATAGAAAAGAGAGAGAAACGTGCAAGATACAAACCCCTCACTTTGGGTGAGATTTGCACACAAGTAGTCTTGGAATATGCTCAGGCTATTAGGCCCTGTCTCAATGGATTAGCTGGCTCCTAAAGCAGAGTAAACTTGGGTTTGGTTCTCTTAGCACGTGCCACTGAAATGAACGTGTTTTGAACCAAAGAGCCCTCTGCAGCACAGATTTGAAGATAGTGTTTTAAATCCTCACTGAGGTTTATGTATGAAAAAACAAAACACCCACAACCTCAAAATTTAGGGAAACTCACCCCTTTTTCATCTGAAATGTTTTCAGACTACTCCTTTTTCCAAAAACTTGCTTGCATCTTCTTCACAGAGGGGAGGATTCATCTGCTGCCATAGTTCCCTGTACTAGAGAGAGAGAGAGTCAATTACAGAAGGAAATTAGAAGCTGACATAAAGGTCAGAGAGTAGGTGAACAAGGGAAGGGAAGTTCTGAAATTACACAGCTATTGCAATTAAGGGCTGATAGTCCTTCTTCTACGGGTCATAGGATCTGTGGCAGTTTTGATAAATGTTTTAACTTTTATAACAGATCTATCAAGGATAGCAATGGCAGAAGAAAAAGTTCACTTTACAAAAATCACTTACAAGAAAGGAGTCAAAAAGTTCCTTCAGCTTCCTTAACCTCATTGAATCTGGGTAATTCAGCTGCCACTCTCAGCCTCAAAGCTCTTGTTCTAGAAGCACTTTTAATATTTGCCAAACTGCTGGCTAAATCTCTCTATATACACACTATCAGATTTGACAGATGATTTAGAGTTTCAGATTCCAGCATGAGTAACTCTTGATTTAGGATGCAAAATCAGGAAAGAATAGATCACATTAGATTTAATCTAGGATTTAATCTAGGACAGATGTAACGAAATTGAACCCTATTGAAATTCTGGGCATTCTTTCAAATCCCCGTATCTCAGCAGTGTGTTGTTCAAAACTAAGAACTGTTTTTGCTCTATTTGGAAGCAGGTAATATCACACTGAGAAGTACTGCTGTGATGGTACACAAGGAGTGAGATCAAAACCCTTCTAAAGGATAAAAAGGAGTTAAAATAATAACTATCTTACACTATTAAGGTGGTCTAATAAGCGTGTGCATAGTCTTAATTTGCATTCATATTATTACTGAGAATAACTGGTTGCTGGATCATATAAGGAACTAAGTTTTTCCATTATGACAAAGCTCCTGCCAGAAACAGAACTCTGGAGTTCTTTCTGAATGACAAAAAAAAAAAGTGAGGGGTTGGAAAAAAAAAAAAAAAAAGAGCAGAACTCTGGAGTTTTTCTGAATGACAAAAAAAAGGTGAGGGGTTGGAAAAAAAAAAAAAAGAAGGGATTACAGTTAAAGAAATCCTTCTTTTTCCTTGTAGCTGACAAGAGTAATCCGTGTGTTTCTGTAATAGCTGTACTTGCTTTTGCAGGATTGCTGGGTGGAAGATCACCTCCTGAAAGCATCACACAAAACCACACCACAGCAAAATCAAGGTCTGGATTACCTGCAAATCAGTGTCCCCATAAAAAGGTAAAAAAGGAAAGCCTCTCAAGCCCAGATAAAGCACGGAGTGTGGTGTAGGATGAACAACTAAGGGAAGGAGCCTGACTAAAGTGACAGAGAAGGCACACAGAGTGGTTGCAGCAGATTTGCAATTTAGAGGGGAACTGTGTTTCGTTATGCATCAAAAAGCAAAAATCAGAAGACAAAAAATATTATAAAATGATACCTAAAAGTCTTTAGGAAATACCAAGGATAAAAAGTAAAGGCTGTTCCTGAACGTAGAAACAAAGAACAATCACTGAACCCCCCAGAAAAATCTCACAAAACAGGAGAAATTGGCTCTGTAAGAGCACAGACTTGGAGAAGGAACACAATTGAAAAGCTTTGCTGTCTCCAAGAAAACTGTTTTAGGCAAATAAGAATTTGGGATCAATGTCAATCGTTTGACTATACTGGTCAAGTCCATTTTCTACACGTCTACTGTAGCTGAGTCCAGATCTGAATTGAAGAGGCATGACTTAATAAATCATGTATGGCTTTAGGAATATCACCACCATTCTCACTCTACGGTTTTTTCATACAGTTCTCCACTAAATGCATTTAAGCATGTACTGTAAGAAGAAATAGTGAAAAATTAATCCTATGGCTTTATAAGCCTTATCAGCCCCAGAGATGGGATAAGTAAATCTGGCATTCTTTTTTCCTTATTTCCTTCCCCTTTTTAGCATGTTATGACACATGGCATAAGCAGAACACTGAATTCCTACTCATCTATCCCATCTATCCTTTTTCTTACACCTTATATAGATGCATACAGTGATACATAAGAAGACTCTTTCCTTTGAACCTTAAGACCCATAATCAATGCATAACAATAATGTCTCTTAAAATCTAGTAATTTTTAATTGTTGTTTAGTCATTTCTACTTATTAAAACCACACTGCCTGCTTCACTTTGGGAAAAAAAGCCAACAAACCCCCCCCCATTTCTGTGAGGAAGCTGTATCTACCTACAGCAACACCTCTCACACAGGATGTGGCCACATTGTGCTGTAACCACTGCCCGTGCCCTGAGGGTTACATTCTGTGACTAAATGGGACTGGAGTAAGGTCACTGCGATACCAGTTGGACACCGTATGCACCCTCCGTGTTCCTCACGTTCTGGTGACCTCTCCCCGACACTGTCTTTTGACTGCCCATTCTCTGTACCCATCCTGAGGTTCTCCCAGGGGAACACTGTGCAACTGCCAGAGTCCTCACCATCCACCAGAACAACCTTACACATTGACTTCTTCACAGAGCCTTGAGATGGATCATTTAAATTCTGAAATCTGTTTCAAACCTGTCTGATTCTAGGTGGAAGAGTGATTGAGATTTTTTTGTATGTTTGCTTATAAAGAGTGCTCTCTGAAGCAGAGCTTCCAAGGCGATTAAGCCCAAGTACCCTAATTTTCTTGAAGCAAAGCCTAAGAACCATTTTCCTCATGCCTTCCACAGTGTCTCAGTGAACACTAGAAGTCAGCAGAAGGCAGAGAGAGCACTCACCTTCAAGAGCAGTTGCCATCTATAAACACCAATGCACAGAAGAGCTAAAAGCACTTAACAGCTCATTCAGAAGTTCAGCTGTCAAGTCTGTGGAGACTCTTCCTGCTTGTTCTAACTTCTTGGTGTTTTCCTCCTTTGACAGGTAGCACACTGAGTATCTAAAAGCCTCCCCTCTCTCTCACTGTCAGTCCAGCATGTCTCTCCCTAGAGCCCTTTCTCCTCAGGAAGATGTCAACAGCTTGCTAAAGCCCTCAGACTACATCAGGGAGGGGGAGATTAAATATACCCAGTGCGTGATAAAGCCAGGGGCAGGAGGAGGGCACCTTCTGTCAGAGGAGCCTGCAGAGTGTCCCAGTAAGATTTCAAACAGGGAAGTCACACAAGAAAAAAACCTCATTTCCCTAAGACTTGCAGAAATATGAACAGCTGCAAACACCTCAGTGAAGGGGGCACAGCAGAGGTGGTATTTACTGTAAAAGTTAAATTGAGCTCTAGGGGACAGATGAGAATTAGTCCAAAAGATATTCTTGACCAAAAACATCAGCTAAAACAACAAACCCAGGGTAGAATCATTCTTCACAGGACTGTCCCACGCACACACACACCACCAGCCATCTGCATCACACAATGAGAGACGAGAGGGGAGTTTCAGAACCAGGTTAGCAGGGTTGTAGCCCACACTCCTGCTGCAGACAGATGGATGCTCTCATTGTAAGGGGAACGTGGAGACACAAGAGGCACAGCTGAAATTACCTCAGTTAAACAGGCCAGAATTCCAAGGTAGGTCATTCAGGAATTTTCCTTCTGTGTTGGAATAAAACAGCTTAATTCCTGCACAAAGTCCTAATCCTTCATTTTACAACTCATCTTGGCCATGGCACCTCAGCCACCAAACTTGGGTTTTCTGTAGTTCCCAGGCATCTACCTCAAAGTAGTTCAACCTGTAATTAAATACCTAGATCTTTCTCCAAGAGTTAACTCTGAAAATGAGTTATTAAGTAATATGCAGTCAGAAGAAACAAGCATTTAAATAAAAAGCACCTTGCCTGTTATGACGGGTTAATGTTCAGAGCCACACACAAGAGTGTACGTGTTCCTGAGCACTGGACTTTTCCTGCCCTCTCCCTGCCCCTTGTATTTATCTTTAACTTTGAGGTGTGACAATCTTGTTTCAAAGCTCAAAGCACCGACCATGTGCAATTAGAACTGGTTAAACAGTGTCGATTCCTTTGCTGGCCCAGGACCAGAGTGTCACTTCTCGTCCCAGCTGACTACAGCCTAGCACATTTTGTCAGCTCTAATTTCAATTAAGATTTATAGATATTAGTGACAATAGGAATAGGATGGAGGGAAAAAAAGTACTCAAACTACTGCGGGAGCCTCTTCACCAAGTGCTAAATATACCCAGGCTCACATAAAAGCATTTAATTTACTGAGTAAATGAATTCTCATATATGGTTCTAAATTCCAATTCAAGAAAAGCTGCTCCAGGGTCCAGACTGGCAGCACTGGAAATGCTTTATTTTCTCCATTGCACAGAGGTGGGAAGCCTGTGAAGGTCTGTCCAAAGCACTTAGACTTTCCGGGAATCAAGCTGCTTTGTTCTGTGCTCTTGGCTGTTCTCCAAGCTCAGAGGGGAGCGGTACATATATTTCTCAAAAACTTGAAATTTTAATCAATAGAAAACATAGGCTTGATCATAACTACGGTGCAGTAGCAATAAAATTTCCCATGATTAATACGAGAGAAGACTTCTGGTTCCATCTTGAACGAACAAACTCAGAAAAGAAAAAGCAATGTGAAGCAACAATATTTTGTTCTCTGGTTAAAAGCAAGATCATTGTGCATCCAGGTGTTCATAATTGGGGAAAAGTAGCTGAACAGACAGGTGCAGATGAGACAACTGTAATATTTGATTCATACTGTAATTCCAAATGAAGGAAACAATAAAAAGGATTAAATTAGTCTCGGTGAATCAAGAGTCAGGAAAAATAAAGTACAACCACACTTTTATGAATACTGGCAGGACCCCATAATTTGTACATTTCTAACTATTCATGGGTGTGACAAACCTGTGACAAGGCTCACCCCCACTACGTGCATTAAAAAAACCCAAACCTAAACCATCCTGCATTAAAAAACCCCAAACCTAAACCAAACATGTCCAACTGACAAGGAACATAAGGAGGCCAATATATGATCTTGCACATGACATCTAGCATGTCATGAAAAGCACAGAAGTAGACCAAGACATTGGGGTCAATGAGTAAGTTTTACTTAAAGGGAGGAAAAAATCACATGGATGAAAGTGTAA